AATGTATATTAAACTTAATAAGGGCCCGGGCCGCTGGCTCACGCCTGTAATCCTAGCTCTTGGGAGGCGCGAGGCGGGCGGATTGCTTCAAGGGTCAGGAGTTCGAAAGCCAGCCTGAGCCAAGAGCGAGACCCCGTCTCTACTTATAAATTAGAAAAGGAATTAATTGGCCAACTGAGTAGTATATATAAAAAATTAGCCGGATGGTGGCCGCATTGCCTGTAGTCCCAGCTACCGGGGAGCTGAGCCCAGAAGCGGATCACTCGAGCCCAGGAGTTTGAGGCTTGCTTGTGAGCTAGGCTGGCCATCTGGCACCATCTAGCTGGGCAACAAGTTGGAGACTCTGTCTCAAAAAAAAAAAAAAAAAAAAAAATTAATAAAATAACTAGTAGAAATGCGAATACTTTTGTGGGCCGGGCGACGGTGCTCACGCCCTGAATGCCTAGGCACTCTGAGGCCGGAGCGGTCCGGCGGGGATCTAGCTCGAGGTCAGGAGGTTCGAACAAGCCTGAGCAAGAAGTGAGGGACCCCGTCTGGCTTTTACTATAAATAGAAAGAACATAATTGGCCAACTCACGTTTATATGAGCCTATATAGAAAACAAATGCGAGCAGGCCATGGGGTGGCACGACGCTCGTGGCGTAGTCCCACACGGCATCATCTCTCAGGAGGCAAGGAGGTGAATCGCTCTTAATAATAATATTAAGTTAAAATAAATCAAGTTGCAGAATAATATGTATGTACATATATAAAATATTTGATTTATTAAACTATACACACCTATGCACATACATGCACACATACACACACACTTTACTCATAGAAAAAATATTTTAAAATAGACACTTCTGTGGAGAGGATGGAGGTAGGTTTTACTTTATACTTCATATATTTTGTATTGTTTAAATCTATTTTACTCACAACAATATGTATTACATTTGTTATTTTTAAAAATAGGGAAAAGATGCTTAAGAACTACTCCCAAACTAAAATTTCTAATGACTAACAACTTTATTATTATTATTATTTGTCATTGTGCTATTTAAATATTCCTGTGACATCTCCAACTATAGTGAATACTTGTTTATTAAACCCAAGTAGGGTTCGTGTTTTTCAGCAAATGTTCCCCAAAAGCCTTGTTCTCATGAATATATAAATATATATATAATTCATGAGTAAATAGATTTATTGAGATTTGTAACCTAGCAATATGCTCATTAAAATTTATTTTTTAAAGGTCGTAATCCTTCGATAGACCATAAATACCAATTTATTAGTCAAAAGCTGAAGCTAGACACGTTGTAATTGCTCATATTTATTCATATATTGCCCCCCTTTTCCCAGATGTCATACAGCCAAGATCAAAGTAAGAGAAATTCTATGGTGTTACAGCTCCTTCTGTGATGAGGCAGGCGGTAACTGCAGCTGGTAGCCTGATTTCCCCAGGTGGCTGATCACCACCAGCAACTCCTTTCAAAGGAAGCTTCTGAGACATTATAATATGTAACGTAACCTACTGGGGGCCACAGACTCCCTCTAGATAGTCCTACATGGTGTGGGGGTAAAAAGAGCATGGGCTTCACAGTCAGACAAATCTTTGTTCAAACCCTAGCTCTGCTACTTTTTTTTTTTTTCGAGACAGAGTCTCACTCTCTTTCCTGGGCTAGAGTGCTGTAGAATCAGCCTGGCTCACAGCAACCTCAAACTCTTGGGCTCAAGCAATCCTCCTGCCTCAGCCTCCCGAGTAGCTGGGACTACAGGCATGCGCCACCATGCCTGGCTAATTTTATATATATATTTCTTTTTAGTTGTCCAACTAATTTCTTTCTATTTTTAGTAGAGATGGGGTCTCACTCCCGCCCAGGCTGGTCTCGAACTCCTGAGCTCAAATGATCCGCACACCTCAGCCTCCTAGAGTGCTAGGATTACAGGTGTGAGCAACGCCCCTGGCCTGTTTCCTCTTCTATAAAATGCCTGGCACGCGGTAAGAACCTAGTAAAAAGCAGCAATTATTGTATTATATTAGAATGTGAGAGAAATTATAGACTCTGTCCATAGGAAAGAAATTCACCTTCCATTTTTAGGGTGTTGTGTATAATTTCAAGGGCTTTGCCAACTCTTTCAAGGCCATTCTGGCCCTCAGATTAGGAACCACTGATTTAAGATTTGGAAAGAACACTTGAAGAGACCTGAATAGTAGACAGAACATTAACATTTCCTACCCTTTTTGCTTGATTGTCATTTTAACTTGTGTTTTCTTTTGTTGGTTTGGTGTGTTAGATTATTTGTGTATCATGCCCACCAGGACTCTATCAGACCAAGAGGATAGACTGTACATTTAAAAAGTGTACAAAAGAGCAAAATAAGTGAGGTTTGTCTAGCATTTTAACACACTAGTTAGAGCTAGCTATTTATCAGCAAAGTGGTAGGAAAGGCCATGGCCATTAGCTGCCCAGATTCAGTTTTCAAAGGCCATCACTAAGCATATGGATTTAATAGGGCCATATTTCTGGTTCCTTAGATCAAAGAAAAAGTTACTTTAAACTTCTTTGGGGAAGCTGTTCGAGCTTAACCTACTAGTCCATAGCTCAGTTTTGTAATCAGAGCCAAGTAGGACTATTCTCTTTTATTTTCAATGCCTCAGAAAAGAGAAAAACCAAATGCCTTCAGGTAGCAGCACAAAGGAATAGCTTTCCTGGTCCTTTGCATTGGTCTGATCTCAAAGAAACAGAAATCCCTTGGAATGTGCTTCTGCCATTAACCCAAACAGCATACAGACTGTTGGTGAAAACATATCCCCGTAGTCTGTGAAAGGCCTCTTAGGCATGGATTGAGCCTCCATTCCCTTCCTAAAAGCCTTTCCCCATATACCCTATAAGGACAGTAAACAATACTCCTCTAAGAATAAATGAACGTTTCGGGAAATAAGAAAAAAATCCTATCTTGATGCTATTATTACTGACTACCCACACTTGAGGATTGCTGCTGGTGGTGGTGGACAGGAGTGGATTTGAAGGGAGAGTGGGATTGTGCAGAGAAAAACAATCTTATATTTCCTTCTTAAAACTAGAGAGAAGGGGAAAAATACATGTGTAATTCCGAGAAGCCAGTTTTCTTACAGGAACTCCATTCCAAATAGTTCTCCAATACCGTCACTGCTCTCACAAGAAAAAATGAGTTGATTTATAAATACCATTCCTCACTAAAAGGAACCAGAACTCCTTGGTAAAATGGCTGATTCTTGGGCTGAGCAGAAAAAGTACAAGATGAGCCTGGAACATCTTGTTGTACCAGAAAGTAAGGAAATGCACAAAAATGATAGCAACGTATCAAAAGGACATAGGAGCCAGATTGAAGGGCTTTCACTGTCCAATTCTGGGCCAATTTGAGCATCAAAATAAATGATAGTGATAATTGTAATCCATTTAATAAAATGAGTTAATGCTCATATAATAAAAACGTGAATGAATGAATGAATGTGGAAGAAGAGAAAGATCTTCCTTACAATAAAATGCCAACTAAAAAATGTACAAAAAGATGGAGTTTTGTTTTGTTTTGAGACAGAGTCTCACTCTGTTGCCCAGGCTAGAGTGCCATGGCATCAGCCTAGCTCACAGCAACCTTAAACTCCTGGGCTCAAGCAATCCTCCTGCCTCAGCCTCTGGAGTAGCTGAGACTACAGGCATATGCCACAACGCCTGGCTAATTTTTTGTATATATTTTTAGTTGTCCAGCTAATTTCGTTCTATTTTTAGTAGAGATGGGATCTCACTCTTGCTCAGGCTGGTTTCGAACTCCTGAACTCAAACAATCCACCTGCCTCGGCCTCCCAGAGTGCTAGGATTAAAGGCATGAGCCACCACGCCCAGCCAAGATGGAGTTTTTAAAATAATCATTTTGCAACTATGATAGTAATTAGTGAATCAGGTAAGAATCATGAGTAGATAGATGTAAAACTATTGGGTGGAAATTTGATAAGAAGAGGATAGTTACATAGGCTCCAAAAATCTCCCCAGAAATTAATTAATAATTACAAAGGAAAAAATACTAACTTTACTGTGAAGAAATCTGACAGACATCACCAGAATCAGATGATCAAAGTTATCATCATGAGTAATGAGACAAATTGGCACCATGTGTCTACTGACGTGATGCACTGAGACTACAACATCACTTCTGTGATATTCTTACCAAAAATGCATAGCCTGAATCTAATCATGAGGAAATATTACACAAACCCAAATTGAAGGACGTTCTACAAAATAGCTGGACTGTATTCTATTAATAAAATTGTCAAGGTCATGAAAGACAAGGAAAGACTGATAATGTATTCCAGATTAGAGTCAAAAGAGACATGACAACTAAGTGCAATGTGTGATTCTGAATTGGACCCTCAGCCAAGCAAAAAATAATCATAAAGGAAATTATTAGGATAATTGGCTAAATTTGAATGTAAACTGTGAATTAGATTTTAGTATTATATCCATATTAAATTTTCTGATTTTGATTACTGTAGTATGGTTAAGTAAGAGAATTTCTTGTTCTTGGGAAATACACACCAAGATATTTCAAGGTAATGAGGAAACATGCCTGCAACTTACTCTCAAATGATTCAGAAACAAATAAATTGTATGCTTGTGTGTGTGCATGTGTGTGTATGTGTGTGTGTGTGTAGGGAGGGGGAGAAGAAGAGAAAGATTTAGATAGAAGGATAAAGCATATGGGAAAGTGTTAACCCACTGTTGAATCTGGGTAAAGAGTGTATGAGGTCTTTTATCCTATTCTTCCAATATTTCTCTAAGTTTGAAATTATACCGAAACAAGAGATAAAAAAGAACAGCATTTGCTCTACATTAAAAAGTAGATAAAACCATGGCAACCTTGGGCCACTGGGAGGAAGACAGAGCCTTGGTCTAGGAGTGGATTATTTGCAGCAGTGAGCAAAGGAATACTGCATCAACGTTATCCTTGCTAGGGAGGAAAATTCGTAAGTTACTCACAGCAGCGCAGCCTCTTGTCAACAGTTGGGATGATTTTGTTGACGAGCCAAACGTCTTCTTCCCAACTAACTACATTTCCATCTAAACACTTCATAAACTCCTCATTTTCCAGGATGTGGTCCCAGAGTTGAAAGTAGTACAAGCTGCCGGGAAAGCTAGGTACCATGCTTTTAACCTGGCTGTCCCCATTCTTGAGAAAGTGCCCTAGGACCAAAGTCCCATTAGGTGTCAGGTTTTGTGGTTGATCGGTTACTACCAGTATCCTTTCTTTATTCAGGAAGATCTCTAATCTGCCCTTCACACCATCCCATATCAAGCATACTGTATGCCATTGAAATGGAGTCAGGTGATAATGGATATAAAAGGTCTTGCCCAAGTTGTATAGTATTAGCTGCTGATGGTCTCCTGCAAGTCCAAGGTCTATGTTTTCTCTTCCCAGGAGGGTGTTATTAGCAATATAGGAGAAGGCGGTCCAATATCTTGAGTTGTTATCCATGAATGCCAGGTCAATGCATGCTGTGAATCGGCTGAGTTCAGGAATGGTGTTATTTAGGCTTACATATGTGTCACCTCTTTCATAAAAATCCAGCTTTTTTCCTTTTAGTGAAAGCATATCTGTCCCAATTTAGAGAAAGGGGAAGAGAAAACAAATGAAATTTCAGTTAAAATTTTTTTAATCATCTTCTTTGGCAATACAGTCGAATCCAGATTATACAATATAATTATGAGTCAATACTGGTGCAAATAAGCAAAAATAGTAATATACAAAAATCATCTCTATTTGACATTGACATGTGATTTTTTTTGGCAGAAGACTTTCTTCCTAATTATATTTTGCCTGGGCTATTATGCAAAGTTAAATTAGTGTTCCCGGAGCACACACCAGTTGGGCAGTTTGGAGAGGCAGTTAGAAGTGTGTGGCTAGTCGGGGGGAAGAGGCCAAAGAAAAGGCAGCTTGGAATTCAAATTTGCTGCACATAATCCTCACTCATATAATCAAAAGAGAACTATTTCTGCCCACCTAACTGCCTTATTATATTCATGGGGCAACAGCAATTTGTTTCTCCAATGCCTTTTCCTGAGCCAAATTACCTGATTTATTCTGTCTCTGGAGAGTGCTTCTCACTGAAAGGCACTGACAAAGGCCTGAAGGATGACCGGCTGGACAATACTGTGGGGCTTCTGTTTGTACTCTGGAATGGAAGCGATGGCACTGCCCTGAGTGCATCCTTCTTTCCATCCCCTCACTAAGGGGGCCGCAGTGGCTTTAAGGCTCTCTAGATGGCCCTGGACCCAGTTACCACCATGCTCTGGAGTCAGACAGCCTGGGTTAAAATCCCAGCTCTGACACTCATCAGCTGTGTAACTTTGAACAAGTAACTTAAGCTCCCGATGCCTCAACATTTGCTTCACTGAAATGACGATTCGGAGCCACGGTGTTGCAGGTCTGTCCATCTCTAGGGGCCACCATTCACATTAATCGATGCCAGATAATAGCCCCTACCTAATGGCCTTACACAATTATTTGAAGATTAAGCGAGATGATGTATGGAAAGCCCTGTTCAACATTGCTGAAGGACGTGTCCAGTGGTACAGTCTTTTGGCAGGCAATTTGGCAGTATCTATGAAAATTAAAATTGGGTATGTCCTTTGTCTCATAGAAAGCTACTGATGAATGGTGATATTATCACCACTACAAACTCCCAGGCCACTAGGCAAATATCTGAGGATTGCCTACCATCGACCTAGTCCAGTCTCAGTACAGCCTGCGCCAAACCAAAAAGAGCTTCATGGCAGAATGGAATTGTAACCTCTCCCTGAATTAGAGTTGTAATGTTGGGACCACTACTCTAAAACGGTGACAGGCTTAGCAGCACACTACAGAGGCTGGCAGAAAGTAACTCCTTCTCTGCTTCTGGGAGATTCTCCCAAATGAAAGCTTCCAGATATTCTCTGGCCATACACTATTCTCTCCCTCCATTCCTCTACTGAACATCCTCCAATAGCAAACAAGCACATGTATATGCCTCCCCACACACACACTCGCCTGTACACACACGCACACCCATGCGCGGGAACTCATACTGTCCACTTGCCAGGAAGTATTTCTGAACCATCCATTGGTGGATGATCAAATGCTTATTTGTATCCCTGGTTTATGTGATTACATTATCTTATCATCTTTTATGTGGCTAATAAATCAAGAGTTAATCCCACAAGATGATAATTGCTATGAAACTGGTCTCAATTATTGTTCATTAACATTGCTTTTCTGTTCAGCCCTCCAAAATGACGTCAAATACAACATTTAAGGCCTGGTTTTATGGTGAGCATAAATCTCCAGGGCTTGCTTGTCCCTTAAAAGAGACTATATCATAATCTCATATAGTCTACAGGGGCCTCTCCTCTCTGCAGTATACTAATTTAAAACCAGTAGCCAAAGGATAGGAAAGAGCAATTTACAAAAGCAGAACTATAAAGGCCAATAATATAAAAAGATGCCACCTCACTATTTTTTAAGTGCAAATTAAAACAATAATGAGATGCCATCTCGCCTACTATATTAATAAAAGTTTAAAAGATTGAGAATACCCAGCATTGGCAAGCCTGTGGGGAAATGACTCATACGCTGTTGGTGGGAGTGCCAATTAAGTAGTGATTTTAAAGGGCAATTTGCCAATATCTACAACAATTTTAATTGTGTGTATATTTTTGACCCAGAAATTCCATTTCTATCAATTTATTTTACACAAATGTATACACAAAGATGTGAGTACCAGGATATTTATTGCAGCATTGTTTGTAATCAAGACCAATTGAAAACCCTGTATGTCTAACAGTGACTAGTTAGGAAAATTGCTACATCTATACAATGAAATATTAAAATAGGCCAGGCACCGTGGCTCATGCCTGTAATCCTAGCACTCTGGGAGGCCGAGGTGGGAGGATCGCTCAAGGTCAGGAGTTTGAAACTAGCCTGAGCAAGAACGAGACCCCATCTCTACTATAAATAGAAAGAAATTAATTGGACAGCTAAAAATATATTTTAAAAATTAGCCAGGCATGGTGGCACGTGCCTGTAGCCCCAGCTACTTGGGAGGCTGAGGCAAGAGGATTACTTGAGCCCAGGAGTTTGAAGTTGCTGTGAGCTAGGCTGTTGCCACGGCAATCTAGCCCAGGCAACAGAGTGAGACTTTGTCTCAAAAAATAAAATAAAATAAAATAAAATAAAATAAAATAAAATAAAATAAAATAAAATAAAATAAACAAGGAAGGCCTATACAGTCATGGAGAAATTTTCAAGGCTTCATATTATGTGAAAAGGGAGTTATATACATGCAGGTGTAGTATTTTCCTATTAGAAATAAAAGAAAAATATATGTGGTAGCATAAGCATATAAAAAATCTAGAAGACACATCAAACCATTACAAATGATTACCTTTAGGTGTGAGATTTAGGGGGATTTTTACTTTCATGCTACTTGTTCTAGTAATATTTGCACGTTTTAAACAATCATATATTATTATAATCAGAAAAATAGCAGTGGATGGATGGATAGATAGATAGATAGACAGACAGACAGAACCACTTGTGGTCTTACTTGAGATTCTGCAGATGAGAGGTAAATTCTGCTTAAACATGAGCAGAAGGCTGGGCGCAGTGGCTCATGCCTGTAATCCTGGCACTCTAGGAGGCTGAGGTGGGAGGATTGCTTGAGCTCAGGAGTTCTAGACCAGCCTGAGCAAGAGCGAGACCCCGTCTCTACTAAAAATAGAAAGAAATTAGCTGGACAACTAAAAATATATAGAAAAAATTAGCCTGGCATGGTGGTGCATGCCTGTGGTCCCAGTTACTAGGGAAGCTGAGGCAGAAGGATTGCTTGAGCCCAAGAGTTTGAGGTTGCCGTGAGCTAGGCTGATGTCACTGCACTTGAGCCTAGGCAACAGAGTGAGACTCTGTGTCAAAAAAAAAAAAAGTGTGAGCATAAGTGTGTTGTAGTGGAGTCCAAAAGACCAGATTTGGCCAGATTTGAGTCCCAGATTTGTTTCTTACTAGGCAATGAATGCAGGTGAACGCTCTCAGGACAGTAGCTGGCATATAGTGAGCACTATAAAAATGTTGCATAAATAACTCACATCACTTCTCTGTGCCTCATTCTTCCATGGTAAGATAGGAATAATTACCTACCTCGAAGGGCCATTATAAAAGATAATGCAATAATGACTAACATTTAGGTTATGTATGTGAGAATGTGTATAAACTGTGAAGTTTTCATGTAAATGGCTGCTGCGATGTTTGCCAAGGTCACTATTAAAAGCCTCTTTCTTCCTCCACAAACTCTTTTGCACCCTCATACATGTAAGCACATCTGCCCAGAGCCCTACTACAGCCTCTGGGCCCCCAGCAGGGCTCTGAGGAGGCTGGGCTATGACAAGGCACAGAGGGGCTCTGCCCTTCTGTTTGGCTACGCAAGCAGTGTTCTCTGCCGGGTCTCTCAAGGGCTGCCTTGAAAGACCACTTGTGTCCTTGCATATGATTTTGCTATCCATTGCAGATGTCTGCTTGGATGCTGCCATCTGTTCCCTGGCAATTTTCAAGTCTAAATTGCCTGATTGCTCCCCTGAAGCATGTTCTTTCTTCATCTGACTCCTCTGTGTCTCTTCATCTCTAGCCCGTTTGCTTTTATTTTGAATTACATTTATTATTTTCCTTACTTTAAAAAAATAGGTATTTTTCTGTTATAAAAGTGATACTATGCATGTCTTTTTAAAGAAAAAGTGGAAATTATTAGGAAGTAAAAAGATTAAAACAAAATCAGCCAGAGGGTCTTGCCATGCAAAGATAAACACCACTAACATTTTGGTATATTTCTTCTGACTTTCTTTCTGTGCACAGGTTGCGTTTGTTTCCATGAGGCTGAGATCATATTGTATGGAAAATCTGGCCCCTTGCTTTTCTCATTTAACATATAACATTTTCCATGTTAGGAAAAGTTCACCATAAACCTCATTTAAATGGCTATGTTACTGACTCAGGAGCACCAAGCACCATTTTATTTGTACTAGAAAATTTCACATAAGGTAAAATTTACCATTTTAAAGTATACAATTCAGTGACATTTAGCATATTCACAATGGTGTGTAACCATAACCATTATCTATTTCTAGAATATTTTCATCACCCCAAAAGGAAACCTTGTACCCATTAAGAAGTCATTCTCCATTTGCCCCTCTCCCCAGTGCCTGGCAATCTGCTTTCTATCTCTGGATTTGCCTATTCTGGACATTTTATATAAATAGAATCAGATAATATATGGCCTTTTGTGTCTGGCTTCTTTCATTTAGCATAATGATCATCTATATGGTAGCATGCATCAGTACTTCATTTCTTTCCATGGCTGAATAATATCCCATTGTGTGGATATACCACATTTTATGTATTATTTAATGGGTTAATGGACATTTTGGTTGTTTCTATTTTTTGGCTGTTATGAATAGTACTGCTCTGAATGTTCATGCCATTCATTTTGTTTGAACACATGTTTTCATTTCTTTGGGGTATATACATAAAAGTGAAATTGCTAGGGCATATAATAATTCTATGTTTAACTTAT